CAGCACCTCTGGGCCCTGAATAACCCACGTGGCCGAGGCTTGAGGGGGCCCGATCCTCGTTAAGTCCTGAGGCCGGGGGCAGACCGCCGCCATCAGATAAGCTGGAGGCACCATGCTCTTGTTCTGGCTGCAAACGTAACGATGGATGTAGAATAAACAAGATGTGAACATGGATGATTACTCCCAGCTCCTCCCACCATCATTAAGCAACTAGATGATGCAGCCAGGTCCTCCGAGACAGGCTCCCCCTGTCAGCGTCGGCCGGGGGAAGCCGCCACGAAGGCACGAGTCCAGTGTGAGAGACGAGCAGAGGCCGTTGCTGCCCCTGATCGGGGGTCTCTGGGCCCCATTAGGCCGTTCCTGTTTGATTTTTGGTGGCAGCTTCCAGCTGGGGTCTTGCGCTAGGGCCCTGACTTGTCACCGTCCAGGCCTGGACTCCGGCCCCACCACCCCATCCCTCCACTTTTGGGGTTTGCTTTCCTGAGAAACAAAAGTGGGAGCGCAGCCGCTTGTGCTGTGTGTTGCTAGGGCCCCGCGGCAGCGCCCGCCGCCTCCTGGCGCGTCCAGGCCGAGGGAAGACCCTTGCTCTGGCTCTGGCCTCACCTTCTCCGGCCTGAATTTCAGAAGCCACTTACTTTCCATTTGCTGGGAGGAACCCAAGTGGCGCTCTCCGGCTGCCTGTGTCACGGTCCACCTCCCCAGCCCTGGACTTAAAAACTCTGGTGTGGCCTGTCCCCTGCCCAGCGCCCTCAGTGGCTGCCCACTGCCCGCCGATGGGGTCCGGATGCTTCGCGGCTGGGCGTCCTCGCATGCCGACTGAAGCAGTTCAGCACGATCACCTGAAAATGGGCAAGTAGTAGCACCCGGCCGGCAGGGCGGCGAGCACGGAAACCACCCGGCGCGTCACGCCCTGCGTCCATCCGGGGCTGGCTGTGTCCTCGAGAAGGCCTGCTCCCTCTCTGGGGGACCATGGTCACCCTTTACCCGCTGTGTGGGTGTAGAGCTGGTCCCAGTCTCCCAGCCGGCCTCTCCTTTAGGGTGAAGGAATGAGGAGAGGGTGACCCGCCAAGGCCGTGCTGGCAGGTGTCGCAGCCCACATTGCCGCCAGAGTGAAGATGAAATGTGATAATGACATAAAGATGATGCGGCCGGGCTCTGCTGGGCGGGGCACTGTGCTGGGCGGTGCATCTAACACTCACAGCCCCGCCAACCCAGGGGAGGTACTCCACTGTGGTAATGAAGACTTGAGCTCAGAGAGGTTGAGTTACCTGCCTGAGATTACCCAGCAGTGTACCCTAGGCTCTCTGATGCCAAAGCCAGTGTTTCCCCAGTGTGGCCCAAGAAGGGCTCAGATATGTACACATATATATATATATATATTTTTTTAATTTTTAAATATTTATTTCTTTATATTTATTTATTTTGAGGAAGATTAGCCCTGAGCTAACATCTGCCTCCAATCCTCCTCTTTTTGCTGAGGAAGACTGGCCACGAACTAACATCCACGCCCATTTTCCTCTGCTTTATATGTAGGACGCCTACCACAGCATGGCTTGCCAAGCGGTGCCATGTCCGCACCCGGGATCCGAACCAGTGAACCTTGGGCCAACAAAGTGGAACGTGTGCACTTAATTGCTGTGCCACTGGGCCGGCCCCAATCAGAGATCTATGTTTGTTATTTCATCAACCGTGGCAAGCATTGGGTCCCTCCATCCTCCATTTCCTGCTTCCCCAGGATGCAGGAAACTACACCTCCCAGCCTCCCTCGCACGCAGGTTGGGGTCACAGGACCGACTGAGGCCAATGAAACGTGGAGGCAGCCATGAAGCCTGCGTGGCACTGGCTCTCACATCCCCCCGTCTCCTTCTGCAAGACCCTGGAGGCTCATGGGTGGAGACGCCTGGATCCCTGCTCACCGCATGGAAGAAAGGAGACGAGGAAACCTGGGGCGTGCGTTGTGCCATTTGTTACAGAGTGTCAGAAAAATACAGCCCACCCGTCACACCCAGGGGCACTGTGGCTTCATGCGAGGGGTCTGTTCTAAATCTGCCAATAGCAGCACAGGCGGCCCCTGGAAATGGCCGGCCTTCGGAAGGCTGTGGCTGCGACGGGGAGGCCAGCACCAGGCCCTGCTGCTTCTCCAAGAGCCGTGAAGCTGCCGTCCTCCACCTCGGCAGGCGCCCTTTAGAAACCCTGGTCTCCCCTTCCGGGGCTCCGTCCTGGGTCCCCTGGCCGCCCGGGGGCATCTGGGCCAACTTCTCTCCCCATTTAAAAGTCAATCACTTCACACCCAGGAAGGGAGACGCAGGCTCCCCTGCAGCCGCCTCCCTGATTTATGAAGTCAGCGGACTCCGTGGAGCTCGCCGCGTGGCCCTGTTTTATGCTGCCCTTTATATGCACAATCCATTTTACGACTTGTTTAAGAAAGCGACGGAGACTGCAATCTTCTGCCCCCGCCCAGCCCACGCCGGCAGTCCGCAAGCCCCGCATCTCCCCTCCATACGACCAGATTCTGCTGACTTTGAGACGGAGGCTCAAGGTCACCCTGGGGGCTGCGCTCTGACCGCGGGCTGCCAGGCGGGCCATCCAGAGCCGGAGAGATTTCTCGGTCATGCTGCTGCTGCGTCTAAAAATGACCTGGCGCAGTGTGCAAACAGATGGTCCCGGGGTGGGGCCGGTGATCTTGGAGGAGCAGTGTGGGGAAATCACCCCAACCCAGCCGGCGTCTGCTCCCAGGAGAGTCTCGGCCTGCGGGTTGCCCCTTAATAAAACTCAGTGGGCAGAGGCTGCTGGGAGAATCAGATTTACACACCACGGGAGCTGGGAGGGAGGCGGAGGTCACTCGATCCGGCCTCTCCCTTCATACAGTGGCACATGTCCTCAGCACCCCGCCGGTCATCTCCTCCTCTCTGCTTGCATATCCCCAGTGCCAGGAAGCTCACCACTGTGGGAAGGCTCTTCCTTGCATCAGCTGACGCCCCCTCCCTGTACCTGCCCCCTTGGTGGCTCTACCTCTGAAGGCTTGAAGGAGTCCAGCCCTTCCTCACCCCAGAGTTAGGCCACAGCGGAGACCAAACAGGGGGCCAGCCCAGCTCCTCCCCAGAGCCACCTGGTCTGGCACGCCATTGCTCTCAGCTGCCGCCTTAAATTCTGTGCCCTTGGTGCCCCACTCACCTCCCCCTCGTCCTAGCCCTGTGCCTCGGTTCCCTTCCTCACACCTGATGTGGACCGCTTCCCCTCTCTGAACGCATCCCTGATCCCGCGGTGAGGGCCCTGAGCTCACAGACTGCTGTGGGAAGACAGTTATGGCCGGGATCCACCAGCGCATCAAGGCAGCCGTGGAAGAACTGGGCCTGTTGGCCATTCACGAGGCCCCAAGCCCTCTTGTTGCTGTGTGGATGTCTGGGTCCATGGGTCTCTGTGTCCCCCGTGGCTCTGGGCCCGGCTCTGAGACAGCAGGCGCCCAGTGAACGGAGCCCCAGCACAGTCGAATGGAGGGGCCTTAGGTCTTTTGAGCAACACGGTCTGGCTGCTCAGAAGGGGAAAAGAGGGTGAGCGGGCCATGGCCTCGCCCAGGCTCAGCAAGCCCGTCGGAGGCAGGGTGACCCCTGACCACAGCCGCGGCTCCCTGGCATGCCCGCCCCTCACCTCTCTTGGGGTGGGTCGCCCAGGAGTCTCATGCAGAGATTCTCCCAGGCACCCCAGGGCAGGCCGCGTCAACATCCATTTCCCCGGGCCCCCAGACCCAGTGGCCGCGCCGCCCTGACCTGCTTGCAGGGAAAATTCTAGGTCCCTGAGGCATTTGCCTGGCTTGTTTGTTACTGGATGGCTTTCATATCTGTACAACCACTCCGCCCGGCTTTTCCCACAGGGTGCGCCCCTGTCTCGGGCAGGCAGGAGCCTTTGCGGCTCAGCTTAAATGAGCTGTGTGTTCGAGGATGGCCCCAGGCATGCGACAGACCCCATGCCACAGGAGCTGATTTGGGGAAACTTTACAATGACAGGGAAAGCACAATTTCTATGAGGAGTCCACCCCACTGGCGTGAGCCATTGGTCTCGAGGCGCCTTGATGAGATGCGAGGCCGGCCAGGCTCAGGCTGCTGAGGTCACAGCTGGGGCTTTTCCAGGGTCAGGGACCTAGTCTGGGGTGCGGGGGGGGGGTGGGGGCGACACACATGAGGGGCTCATGCGAAGTAACTGGAAATACGACTTCATCCATCCACGGTGATCTGTTGGAGGCCTACAGTGTGCCGGCCACGTGTGAGGCCCGGGGACCCACGATGAGGCGGTCAGAGGGGCCTTTGTCCTCCAGCAGCTCCTGAGATAAGGAGGGGAGCTAGGGGTGGACGCCAGCCAACACTGCCCGAAAGCCTGCGCCACAGCGCAGGGCAAACCTGCGTGGAGGAAGACAATTTATGCATAATGTGCTCAAAACAACTGGTTGCATCTAATCCAATGATGTTTCTGTAACTCGCTGCTAATTTGCTTTCCGGATCAACCCTGTACATATTTTCAAGCTGGGATCTATTTTCTGATTCTCTGTATCTGTGCACATTGCTTCAATCCTTCATTTCATTCGGCTGCTCTGAATAATTCACGCACACCAAATTGCTTCTTCCTCCTCTGCCGAGACGGCCGTGGGGGGGCGGGAAGCGGCTTCGCTGGCAGGAGGGCTGGTGGGCAGAGAGCGGAGAGGGGCCCTGGCTGCCTCTCGTCCCTGAGCAGGGGCCGGGGCAATTTCAAACTAAAGCAGAAGCACAGAGGGGTGACAGGCCTGGGCATCCCGGGACTTGGGGCTTCCTGGGCCCTTCTCTTCCTTTCTGCGCCAGGACCCAACTGTCACTCTGGGAAGCAGGCGGGAGGCCCTTGGAGATGCCACCCGCATATCACAAGCCTCACAGCAGGCCTTCCCCAGGAAGCTGAGGCCAGACCAGGCCGAGTCCTGCTCCCAGGACAGACGGACACTCGTGAACGGGCTGCTTCTATCGATTCAAGCTGATCTGCAGGTGGAGAAGAAATCAGCCAGGTGAACACCTGGGGCCAGTGTGCCAGGCGGAGAGAACAGTCAGCGAGGGCATGAGGCTTCAGCCGTGTGGTGTTGGAGACGAGCACCAGAGGGTTCTTTGCAATTTCCTCCTGAACGCGTGGCCTCATGGCTCCTTGACAGGGTCGTTGCTCCAGTCATTGCCCCGTGGTCTATGAGCCTGGTCCGTGAGCATGACAAGGCGGTCAGCACTGCCAGCGTGCCTCCGAGGCTTGCTGGGGGTTACCTGACTGCCCCCAGCCTGAGTAGCAGGATTGCTGAGGTGACCAAATGAGGTAATGCGCTCAAGGGGCTCAGTCTGGAGCCACCACCACTGTGTCCAGTACTCGGGCATGCTGAGGAGCAGCTAGCTGGGCCCGCTGATGCACAGTGGCCACATCCCACGGCCCCTGCCATGCCCACTCCGAGGCGTCTGGCCCCAGCCTGTGTGTGGCCTCCCTGCCTTGGTGCGTTCCCAAGGCTGGCTTGGGTGTTCCTCAAGGTGATCCAAGTGTGGGTCCCATTCAACCCCCCTTCTACGGCTGTGGAACCCACGCGCCTCCAGGTCGGTTGAGGGGCCTCCGTCACACAGCCGCCGGGCTGGAGCAGGGATCTGTACACTAACTCCCAACGTCTACACCTCCTTCACTGTCCGCAGAGGCTCTCTGGGTGTCACACTCGTGTGTGTGCCTTTTGGCTTCCTTTGTGAAAAATGGCCCCGCAGAAGCCCACCCAGGGCGGAGAGCCAGAGCAGGGGAAGGTAGGAACAGACGTTCGGTACCCAGAAAACCGCCTTTCCGGTTACTTTAAGTCTGTATTGATAGAATCATTAATGGCTCCAGAGGCTGCCTACGTTTTTTTGCTATTTTATTGCATTTTTGTGGGTGAAATTAGCTGCTGGTTTTGTATCTGGGAATTGGGACTCGCGAGCACCGTCTGGAACTGTCTGTCTCCGTCTCCTTTGCTGGACTGGGGGCCCCTTGGGGGCAGGGGTGTCATCTTTGGACCCTCGGCACAGAGCTGGGCGCGCGTTAAACATTTGCAGAACTGAACTTTGAGGACCCCTGCCTGGGGCAGCTTTCAGACCAGCCCTCGCAGGACAAGAGCAGACGGACAGCCTTGTGGGAGACAGGACCTGAGGAAACTCTCGGTCAGTCATCTCCGAAGCTCCGAGATGCGCAGCTCAGGCCTGGAGCCGCCGAGCGGCCGTACGACCTTAATTGAATGGCTCCTTTCCCGACCCTTCCCGCGTGAGCATCGGCGGCTCCTCGGAACAGCCTGATGCAGCCGCTGTTTTCTTCTTTATTACGGCCTGCCACAGCCAATTTAACCGGGACCGTGCGTGCCGGCCGAAGCGAGACAGGCGGCCGGGAGCGGATGGGAGAGCCTGTCCAGCTAATTAGAGGAGGCAGCGGCAGGGGCAAGGAGCCGGGAGGGAAGGCCAGGGTCGCAACGCCGGCGGCCAGGTGGGCACCTTTTGCAGTCTGTTGCCTTGGGGACAGCCGAGGGGTCTGTCCTGGGGTTGCTGGCAAAGGACATGCTTTTCAGGAGGCCTGTGTGAGCCATTGATGTCCTTGACGCGAGGAGCTGTTGGAGAGAGACAGAAAGGAGGGGAATCCTCCAGGAATAATACAGGAATTCAATAAGCAAAAACGAAACAATGAAGCGCGTGCAGCAACAACATCCTTCTTGGAGGCGTATTCTCGAGCGGGCAGCGGCAAGGAAAAGATCAATAAGGAAATTACTGTTTCTTTCCACAGAGCCAGCTGCTGGGGACTTTTTTGTTGCCACAGTCCTCCTTCCTGCCTGACTCAGGAAGAAAAGGGGTCTCTGGGGTTGCGGGGGGAGCCGGGGTCCTTCCCGGCAATTCTGGAAACTCTGGCCAATTAGAAGATGGTTGCGGGACATCCACCAGTTTATCCAAACTGGGCTCTTCATTCAGCAGGAGCTGGAGGCTGGCTGTGGGGGGCGTGGCTCCCGTCCCAGCTCCATCACTAACCAGCTCTGCTAACTTGTTCAGGTGTTAACCAGTCTATCTGGACCTCACTGTCCTTACCTGCTAAGGCGGTACCTTTGAGTCGGAGCAGAGGGCTGCGGACCATCTGCGGGGACCCAGGTTTCCACAGGCAGGATCGGGAGGCTTGAGAGGCCCAGAGGGTCCTTCGGGCCAGAACCCCTGAAATCGCTGGCGTGATGCCTGGTGCTCCCACCAGCCCCGGCAGTGCTCCCTGAGAATGGGGAACTTCTACCAGCATCAGATGGCCCCGTGCCAGGAGAGGAAACTGAGGCCCCGGGTCGGGTGTGTGCAGTGGAGGCAGGGTTGGAGCCCAGGGCTGATGACTTCCTACCTGAACTGGGCCCCGCCCTCCGGTGCTGGCACAGGGCTGGGGCCGGGCCGGGCTGCCTGGAGGGCCGGGGCAGGTGGGAGGAGGTCTCCCCGGAAGCAGTGGGGGGGGACTTGCAGCTCCGTTCACCTCGAAGGAGCAGGGAGGTGAGCCTCCAAGGCCTGTGTCCTAACCTGCAGCCGCTCTGCGTCTGATCACGTGCTTGGAATTAGCTAGTGCGTGTACATGTGTGTGTGTGTGTGTGTGTGTATGTGTGTGCATGTGCGCACGTGTGTGCTGTTACACTGTGCTCACGTGCATGTGTATGCACTGGCAGGGACAGCAGGATGGAGGGCACACAGAGGAGAGGTCCTGCTCCCCCGCCTGCCGGCCCCCCCAGCGAGGGTGGAGCAGAAACAGATGCCAGCCTTGGCCTTTCTTGGCCAGGGCCTTGCCTCCCTCGGCACCCGGCTCAGCGCCTGGCAGCAGTGACTCACCAGCACCCAGGGCTGCAGGACCGGCCCAGCTCCTTGCCCGGCACACCCTTCTGGCACCTTCCGCTGCCTGCTGTGTGATGAATAAGTGTCCAGTGACTCACCAGCTGGAGGACCGGCCGTGTGTGCCAAGCGGCCAGCGGAGGGCGGGGCGCGCAGTTCAGGGCCAGCCTGCCAGTGATCAGCGGTTCTGGCGGCTTCATCTCCCGCATCGGCTTCTGTGAAATGGAGACAGCAGAGCTCCGCAGAGGGCAGGGATCTCCCCGAAAATCCCTGTGAGGTCAGGACTTAGCTCTGCTTTAGAGTCCTGGCAGTGTCTGGATGTGGGCACTTTATTTAGAACAACACAGAACCGCTTCACAGCGACACATTATCCCGAAACCACTTTAATCTTTGCTGATCCGACAGAATCGGTGAAGGCACAAAATCCCACTCAGGTTTAGCAATTATCCCCGGGCGAGACCTCGCCACCGTGGGGTTCGGCGTCATTGTACACAGGCCTTTCAAGAGCGCTGTGAAAAGCAGTGGACTAGGTGTCCACATCAGAGAGGCCACGAACATTCACCCAGCGCAAAATTGATGTAAGTGGGCCCTTGGACTGGCATTTCCAGGGACAGCGTCAAACACAGACACTGAGAGAAGAGCCCAGAAACAGATCCAAGTACCGGGGACGCTTGGCAGAGGTTTCAGGGGGGAAGCTGGGCCGTTTAATAACTAGTGTGGGGCCGCCGGGCAGGCTTTGGGAAAAGGATGGACGTGGACCCACTTCACATGACATAAACCTGGAGGCACTGACGGCCTCCACATACCAGCGCCGAGGAAAACGGGCAAATTCCTTATGAGTGTCCTGACTGCGACTCAAAAGCATTAGGAGAATGATTGACATTTGACTACAGTTAAACAAACCCACTGTCACCAAAATCAAGAAAAGAACGACAAACCACACAATGTTTGAAACCTGCAGAATCACAGACAGAGGCTGATTCCCGCCCATGGGAGAGCTCCTAGCGTGTGCGTGGAGGGAAACACCAACCAGCGAGGAGGGAAAAGTGGGCAAACGCTGGGAACTGGAAGTTCACAGACAGAGATTGCCGACGGCCTCGAGACAAATGAAAGGATGCCGGCTTCTCTTAACAGAGAAATAAAAATGCAAACTGCTGGGGACACCACATCTGACTTACGTGACTGGAAATCTCCCAAAGATTTTCCCAACGCTCCGTGGGGTCCAGCAATCTGCTCCGTTGCTGGGAGGGAGGAATCCGGGCCAGCCTTTGAGGAAGGGAATTCAACAGCATCGGGCAAAATACCACAAGCGTTTGCCCTCAGATACTTTATTCCAAAGACACACGTCATGTGCAAAGACACAATGTGATTTTGCACAAGGTTATTCACTGAGGGAGGTTTTTTAAGAGCAGAGTATTAGACACAACTCAAATACCCACCCCGGGGGCGCTGGTTGCAAACACTAAGCCCAATGCACAATGGTATACTACACAGCCATGAAAAGGGACAAGGCAGAGTTCCATGCTCCTCAAGTTACCTGTAGGAAACATGGTTCCAGGAAAACAGCCAGATGCAGAGTAATATACAACTGGGGGCTTTTTGTATAAGAAGAGTGCGGTGTGGGCTCCAATTGATGCTTCTCTTTACTGTTGACTTCAAAGGACTCTATTTCTCATTCTCATAGCCTGTGAAAATAATCTCTAACAATGGATTTATTAAAACAAAATCTTGGTACAGGGGACCTTTTAAAAATCCATTCACTCACAGGAAACCAAATGGACATTGTTCCCACGAGAACTTCTCAGTACCACACATCTGGGCCACCAAGGAAAGGACATCTTATCTGATGGTGAGCAGATCAGCCCCTGCTCCTCCACAACCTGACGACACATGGCATTGGATGGACCATCTGGCTTCTGAGTTCCCTGGGTCATGGGGCAGCCCGCCTCCGTCACGTCCAGGAATTCAACCTCGCTTTTCACAGCCCAGCCGTCCCCAGGGCCACTTCCTCCTGAATGTGTGTCTTTCTGGGCCATGCCTATGCAGGTGGTCAAACAAGGCTCCCACCTGGATCCCCCGCCCGCCCGATCCCCGCTCCAGCCTCTAAGAGCTGCCTCTGGGGGTTCATTTCCCCACGATGAACAACTCACTGTCCAGAATCCCAGCTCAGCCTGCGCCCAACGGTTCACCCACCTTCTCCAGCGACACGTGAGGGCCCCACCCACTTCAGATGCGTCTCTGTGTCAGGTGGTGCCGTCCTGTGGACATAAACACTGCTTCACAGGTTGGAAGATCAGCGGTCCCAAGAGTTTCTCCATCTGAGCACAGGGAGCCTGGCGCCTCCTTACAGGTGGTGTGAGGCCGAGGGGACGCACGGGGGCAGGGATAGGTGCCAACATTGGCTTCCAAGTGTGGTCTGTGCTCAAGCTACCACTTGTCATCTTCGAATGGAATTAAGTGTCCTAATAAAAGACCAGCCTGACACCCATCTCGGTGTGTTCAGCTATCTGGAATAAGCACCGCCCCTCGTTTTGGGATCCCGTCTCCCGGACGGCCCTGGCACCTGCATGGCGACCCTGCGCTTCCCAAGAACCCAAGAGATAACGTGCCACGTGCAGCGGCTGCCTCCTTCCCGCCCACTGGGAAGAGCTGGGACGGGGAGAGGACCACCCCCCGCCTGCCTTCTGTGGATGCTACATGGCACCCTGACTCTGCAGGGGCTAGAGGAGGAGTTCACCTGCACCCGAGTGGGTCCCTGCCATGGGCTTCCTTCGAGAAGAGGCGTTCCAGGCCCAGCTGCTCACGGCACCCAGCGCCCCACGCTCAGGCCTCCAAGTTCCCCGAGAAACTGCCGGATTTTGACTCCAGGCCAAACTTTTAATAAAGAAAATTCATCCACAGATGTTCTGCCATCAGCCAATATATTCGCTTATTGGAATCCGGGAGCGTCAGTTGCAGGCGGGTTGTTTTATTTGGTCTCTGGATGAAACCATTTTTCTCACGTATTTAATATCCTGGAGGAATATTTTCCCCCAGCAAAGACTCCGTCTGGGACAGCAGGTCCATTCTGGACCCATCAGGGCGTTATTTTACTTTCTGGTGACTCAGGACGGGTATTTGTACATTCGTTTCTTCCTCTGTCATTAAGGGGAAATCATCGGAGCTCTAATGACAGAGCCGTTCCCGACCGAATGCGCCTGGACAGCTTTGTGTCACGTGGGGGCCGTCGGCGCCACACACACTGCATCCTTGGGCTCGGGGCTGTTAGCGAAGGGCGGCTCCTCTCGTGGGGGCGAGTTTGCACCCCGTGTCGCCCCAAGATGATTTGTCAACATAAAAGTATGAAAAGACCTCCCACTTCTAAAGTTGTCATTGTGAGCTCGTCCTGCCTCGGTGTGACAGTCGTCTTCTCAGGGAAGACTTCCGGCTAATGAGGCCCTGAGTAAAGGTTAGGGATTCCCACCCCTCCCGACGTCACGGCTCAGGGTGTCTCTGACTCCCGTGGCCCAAGAAAACCCAGGTGCTGGCAAAGACAAGAAAGCAAGACAGGAGGTTTTGGATTTTTTGTCATGGGCTTGGTAAATACCAAAACCCCCCAAATCCCAAAGAGTGTGTTGGGTGTAAGAGAATCATAGATGTTGGGAAGAAGGGGCAGACGGGAGAAGGGCGATGGAGGGAGGAGTTAGAAGAACTCAAGAAGAAGCAACTGTTTCTCCCAGGAGATGCGAAATGAGAAGCTTCTGGAAGGCAGGGACCTCTGAGCCGGGGCCTTGGGGCCTCTGGACAAGGTTGGGAGGAAGGAGGGTGGGGAGGGCACGGGGGAGGGCACCACGGGGCTCCAGAGTTCGGTGTGCCTGGAGGTGGAGACCTGGTTGGCAAGGTCGGAGTGGACAGTAGGCAGCGGGCAGAGGGGACGGGCCGAGGTGCACTGGGGTCAAGAGATGGCGTGCCAGGTTTGAGGCGGCACTGTCCCCCTGCAGTGGAGTCTAGGTGGTCACGATCCAGAAGCTGAGGGCCCACTCCGGGGGTAGAGATGTGGCCCCTGGGAGTGAGGAAGGGTCCTGGAGGAGCCAAGGGCTCCTAGGATGAATCAAGACCTGGTGGCCAACCGTCCCCAGAGCTGCTCCCGATGCCTCTTGGGTCTCCCTCCCTCCCCACTCTGAGGTTTAGGGCTCGTCCCGTTTTTTTTTATCCGGAGGAGCCGACCACGATCTGAGGAAATGCCCGTGCATCCTAATGATGGGGGAGAATTGGCCATGGGCATGGCCCTGACCAGAAGGAGGATGGGGAGGAGAACCAGGGGGTCTTTGCCCTATTTTTCATCCCATATTTTCCCAACTATTGGCCAGGGCCGGGTCACAAGGGCGCCCACTGTGACAAAGCTGAGCATAGTCCCCATGCCCCCAGCTCACCATTCCAGTGGCTCCAGCTTCCGGGTGGGCACAGGGACCAGTGTTGTCCGTTCTTGGACGTTCTCAGACTCACTCCACTGCCTTCCGAGCATTGCGAACATCAGCCACCCGCCATCTAAGGGGCCGCCCACAGCACTGCCTGGGTGCCAGCCCAGCTGCCTTTCCAGGACCAATGATGGAAACTCAGGAAGACTATTTTGGACACAAGTCAGCTCATTTGCTCACTGGTTTGAGCACAGCGCCAGCTGGGCTGGGCTCGTGGGGTCTGCCAGGCTTTTCCCAATGTCCACGTCACTGCCCTGCCACCCACACTGCCAACGGGAGCCAGCTGCCCCAAAGCAGAGGAAAGGGGAGGAGGTGGGCGGCTCCCATACGCCATCCGGTCCTTTTCTGCTAGGGCCGGATGGAAGGCAGTCTTGTGAAAGGAGAGTTACTGCGACGTCGTTTCTTCCCTGGCTGGCCTGAGACCCCAGGGTGCTCCAGAACAGCACGGGACACTGAGATGTGGCCTGTGTACAGAGACTTCAAGGCCTGCTTAGAGGCAGGGCCAGACTCGGTAGCGACGGCCGTGGTCTGTGCTGGCCTGGCTCCTCGGATGTGCGAGGGTCTCCGTCTCCAAGGCCTGGGGACCCAGACCCCAGAGAGGGCCGGCCGCTCACCTCCTGGACCCACCACAGCTCCTAGTGAGCGGCCCGGCCAGAGAGGGCCTGGCTTCACCTTCGCCGACTCTCCAGCAGGTCCTCCGCTGGTACCCCCCGCCATGCCTGGAGCTGGAGGCTGTGCCACACTCCTTCCGGCGGTGTCCTTGGAGGAGCCCGGCGGGTGGGGGTGGTGGTGTGGGGTGGATGCCCAGGGGTGCAGCCCTGGGATTCAGATTCGCCCCAGGCGGAAGGGAACTCCGAGCTGATTCTCCGGGTGACGACTTTTGGGGGGATGGGTGCCTGGAGACCCAAGGGGACTGTGTCCATCACGCGACCTTGCTTCCTCTCCTGAAAGGACCACTCACACCCTGGAACACATCTGCGAGGATTCAGAAGTCTCCATCATTTCTAAAACCCTCAGAAACGACAAGCGAAGCGAAAGCACCTCCTAACATTTTTATTGTTCCTTAGATAACTGGATAGTACAAAGTTTCCCTCTTTTTTTGACTTAAAAAATGTACTTTCCACGCACTGCGGCCCTCAGGAACCCTCCCTTCCCGCTGGAAACTGAAGCTTCCCTAGGTTAGCCCTTCTCCACCGTGGCTACGTTATTCAGGGAATTTAACAAGAAGAGAAGAATTCCTTTGACTATTATCAACATGAACTCGATTATCTCTCTCTAAGGGTGAACACTGATTATTTTTTTTCTTTTTAAGAAACAAAAACCATCCACTTATTAATCCAAACTACGGCATTGCATTTACAACATCCATTGCATAAACTGAACACACAGAGCTACCACCTCAAGGGGACAACAGACAGACGCTGCACAAGATATCTACGGGGGACGCGGATTCGAACAACGTGGGTACTGCCACCGTCCGTTCCACACGCTCGGACCATCGCTTGGCAGGGACTAGACACGGGTCCACGGGCTGCTTGGAGTCTCAGCACGGTTAATCTAGGACACAACACACGGTCGAGAGACAGCAGCTGTGAGGGGATGCGAGTTAAACTAGCCTATGACGACCCCTCCGCACGCCGAGCGCGGCCGGGGGCTCTCGATGAGACGCGGCAATCACGTCCATCGGAGCGACCACATCTAAGGGAATGTCCATGCGATCCTAACAGTGGGTTGTTCTCGGGCGAGAGTTGGCCAACAGTCATTGCCTTCCTTCGTTGGTATATTATTTGACCAGAAAGGGGACCTGGGCGGGAGGCGGGAGGCGGGAGGAGAACCAGGGAGCCCTGGGCTGCAGTTCCAGCTGCAAATACGGGGGTTTCTTCCCAAGAGTGTCACCCTCCGGCTTGAACTGGAGAAACACGGAGGGAACGCCATCCCGCGACGCCGGAATCCACATTGCTGATGATTTTTCAAAATTAGTATTGTTAGTCTCAGTAACATTATTTTGGCAGCTGTTTCACAGGAATTTCCACGTGGGGGAGGCCTCGGACCCTCGGCTTCCGGGCAGAGGCGACTACAACTCGTCGGACCGGATGACGTGGAAGAGGGTGACGTTGTAGAGGACCTGGTGGCCGTTGTTCCACGCGTACAGGGCGCGGTCCTTGGGGTTGTAGTCCAACATGGAGATGTGGGAGTACTTGTTCTGGAAGGGGATGTCGATGTACTCGTAGGTCGAGGCGTTGGTCTGGTAGGCGTAGTGGACCTTGGTGCCTCCCGAGTAGCCGTTGGTGACGTAGAGGGTCCCGCAGATGATGAAGGCTTCCCCTGCACTGCGCTTGGGGTAACTTGTGTTCCAGGTCTGCAGCACCTGCAAGGAGACGGGGTCCAGCTTGCTGATCACGATGTTGCCGGCGTTCTGGTTGGTGGCGTAGACGGCCCACAGCCCGTTCTCGTCCACCATGAGGTCGATGTCCGAGTGGCCGCCCCAGGCGTAGTGGTACATGTTGTTGTAACCGGCGTAGTCCAGGCTGCGTGTCTTGAGGATCGTCTCCGTCTTCAGGTCGAACCTGATGACGATGTGACTCTGGAACTTGTTGAAGTAGATAGAGCCATTGTAGACCACCTGCCCCGT